CTCCCCCGGGGGGGAGCGACCCGGCCTGCCTGAGAGCTGCCCACCGGTGTCACCCCTGGGGGCGGCGATCCGACCTGCGACGGCGCAGGCCCCCCCATTGACGTCCCTGAGGTGGCGCCCCGGCCTGCTGCAGAGACGGTCTCCATGCTGCCCCGATGCGGAGCGGGTTCCCCCCCCCGTCTCCGCCGGGCGGGTGATCCTCCCTGCGGTGTAGCAAGCGCACATGCCCCAGCTAGGGTAGCAGGCCGTCCTGCACTGTGGCCCCCGTGAGCTGCCCCGGGCCCCCCTCCCAGGTTAGGAGGCCAGCGTGTGACGCTGTTCTGGGGGGCGCCAGCCCATCCTCGGATCAGAGGTCCGTCAAACAGCCCCATCTTCTGGGGACGCCAGCCCGGCCAAACCTTATGTGTTGAACAGAGGTGACCGCGGGGTATGCTGACCACGCATACCATCCACCAACACCAAGTGCCAATAACAGTCCCTGCACAGGCTTTGGGACCAAAGGTTTGTCATTCCAACCTTCACGAGTACCTTCACATGAATATGCCTACCCTCATGGGCATTAGCAGTACACTGCAATCCTCCTCCTCCTCCTCCTCCTCTTCTTCGTCGTCTTCTTATTCTTCTTCTTCTTCTTCTTATTATTATTATTATTATTATTATTATTCTTATTCGTAGTATTATTATTATTATTATTCTTCTTCTTATTATTCTTCTTATTATTATTATTCTTATTCTTCTTCTTCTTATTATTATTCTTCTTCTTCTTATTATTATTATTATTATTATTCTTAAGATTATTATTATTAATATTATGCTTATTTGTCTTAGTCTTCCTCTTCCTCTTCTTCCTCTTCCTCCTCCTCCTCCTCCGCCTCCGCCTGCGCCTCCGCCTGCGCCTCCGCCTCCGCCTCCGTCTCCGCCTCCGCCTCCGCCTCCGCCTCCTCCTCCTCCTCCTCCTCCTCCTCCTCCTCCTCCTCGTCCTCCTCCTCCTCCTCCCCTCGTCGCATGCATCGCCCCCCGCTCCGCGTGGTGACGTGCTGTGCGATGACCTCGACACCCGGACACTCTCCACGCACGACCCGACGCCGCACTGGCTTGGGGACCTCGGGCAGGATCCGTCGGCATCGGACCGGGAATCGGATCGAATCGAAAAAAACGTCGGGCGGGGCTGCGTCGGCACGGGGTCGGAATCGAATCGGATCGGCTGCGCCGGTCTGCACAGCAGCGCCATGCAAGCATCTGGCCGCACCGGATCGTTTGGAATGCCCCAATCGAGTCGGAACGGCGCGGCCGATGCCGATATCGAGTCGGATCGATCGGATCGAGACTGCCCCTGCCTTGGGGACCCCAGTCGCCCGAGACATCCTCGAGACGGCACCTTTGAGCCTCGTGAAGGGGTGCTCTGGGAGCCACCTGGGGGATTAGCAGACGCTGGGCTTTGGCGGCGCGCACAAGGGCGGAGGGGGAGGGGGAAGGCTTCCCAAACATGCGACGTCCTGATTTTTTCAGGACGGCGCCCCCAGAAGTCCCGACCCTCTCCCCGGGACCGGCTTTTCATCCCGAGTCGTTTCTTGACGGTCCCGAGGCCCGGCGAGGACCCCCTGGGGCCGAAGATGGCCAAAAACCTGCGAGAACAGCAGAATTCTACAACAGGATTCTCATCTGAGTCTTAAGGGGAATGCTTCCAGATATGCTCCTACACATCGCTGTTAGGCTGCTTTGCCGGGATAATTTTACGACGTGCGCGCGTCTGGCTTCTCAGAACCCAGACCCCCGACGTCATGTTTTTTTCATTACGTCGACCCCCAGAGGTCCCGACCCTTTCCCCATGACCGGCTTTGCATCCCCGAGTCGTTTCCTGAAGCTCCCGAGGCCCGGCGAGGGCCCCCGGAGGCCGAAAATTCGGAAAAACCTCCCGTCATGATTTTTTCATTACTGCATCCTGGAAGGAGGGAGGAAAAACCATGAAGGGGGTCTGGGAAGGGGGTCTGGGAATCTGCTTCCTGGAAGGAGGGGGTCTGGGAAGGAGGCTGCTTCCTGGAAGGCACCGGCCCCGAACACACCCCCTCTGCGCGCGGCCCCAGACATCCGACGCCTCGACTTCATCGAGACACGGGCACCCGACCTCCCGACCACTTCCACCCCCAGACCCCCTCGAGTAATGCAAAAATCATGACGGGAAGTTTTCCCTAATTTTCGGCCTCCGGGGGCCCTCACCGGGCCTCGGGAGCGTCAAAAAACAACTCAGGATGCAAAGCCGGTCATGGGGAAAGGGTCGGGACCTCTGGGGGTCGACGTAATGAAAAAATCATTACGTCGGGGGTCTGGGCCCCAGGCCCGGTTTCTCATCCCGAGTCGTCTTTTGACGGCCCCGAGGCCCGGCGAGGGCCCCGAGAGGCTAAAAACTATATCAAACAAAACCTCCGCCTCGAGTTTGTCGAGGCGCCCGATTCGGGGATCTTCTGACCTGGGTCAATCCAGACCCGGGTCAGCAGGAAACCCAAAAACTGCAATGCAGGAAAAAAACTGCAACGCAGGCCTTCGCAAACCCAGGTCACCGAATATGCGCGGCCGCCTCGCGGCCACGAGCGGCTCGCTAACCCGGGTCAGGACCCGGTGTCCTGGCTGACCCCAGTTTGCATTGACCCCCGTCTCAAGGCTCCCGACCGATGTCTGGGCCGGTTTCTCATCCCGAGTCGTCTTTTGACGGCCCCGAGGCCCGGCGAGGGCCCCGAGAGGCCAAAAACTATGCTTAAAAAAAACCTCCGCCTCGATCTTGTCGAGGCGCCCGAGGCGTGGCGCTGCGCGCGGCCGATGGCAGCAGCCGGGGCAGCAGGTTGGCTCCAGCAGCCGGGCTCCCCCCCCCGGCAGCAGCCGGGGACCGCGCCCGGTGGCGGGGCCGGAGCCCGGAACCAGCTCTGCACCGCTGGTTTCGGGCCCCCCTCCCCAGGCACCCAGAGGTCCAGGAGGAGGAGGAGGAGGAGGAGGAGGAGGGAGGAGGAGGAGGGAGGAGGGAGGAGGAGGGGGAGGAGGAGGGAGGAGGGAGGAGGAGGAGGAGGAGGAGGAGGAGGAGGAGGAGGAGGAGGAGGAGGAGGAGGAACGCATATATGGAAAAAATCAGGACGGAGGATTTCTTTACCTTTCGGCCTCGAGGGGCCCTCGCCGGGCCCCGGGACCGTCGAAAAACGACTCGGGATGAGAAACCGGTCCCGGGGAATGGGTCGAGACTTCTGGGGACCCCGTATCGAAAAAATCACGACATCGGATCTCTGGGCGCGGCGCACTGCGCGACCGGATCGAGGGCGAGGGCCTGCGCGGCAAGGACGCAGGGCTCTCGAGCGCCCAAGCTGCAGCGGAAGTCGAAAGCCCATGGGCCGCGGCCGCGGGCTGGGATAGGCCGTGGGATCACGGGGACGCGCGGCAACGATGCAAGGCCCCCGACTGCCCAAACTGAAGCGGAGGTTGGGAGCTCATAGCCCACGGCCGCGGGCTAGGACAGGCCGTGGTTCTCTAGAGACGAGCCCGCTCCCTCCCGATCCCCCTCCGTCGTCCGACCCGGACAGCTACCTCGACATACCCAAAACGACCTCACCGCACGGTCCGGTCACCGCGCCGTCTTGGGACCCAGGAGGCCCCATGAGACATCCTCGGAAAACGACCCAGATCCTAAAGCCGTGCGGTCACTCCGGCTCACCCGACGGGGTGGTCACCGCACCATCCAGGGCTTCAACAACCCGTGGAGGCCCCCTGAACGGGTCTGGCGTAGATGGGGTGGGAAGATCACGCCGCATCAGCGATGCATCTGCGACGCCGGAATGCAGACAAAGAGGCTCCAGGTCGTGCCGAGCCGCCAATGCACCGGCGATGCTGTGCGACCCCCCGACCCCTCCTGCCCCAGCCCCATGCGAGAGGGCTGGAACCCGAGGGCCCCGAAACAGCGGACGTCGACCGCCGCCCCACGGCCATCGAGGGCCCGGGCTGCTGCAAATGCTCGACTCTCCTCGAGGTTCTGACGCCTCGGGCGGGCGGGCGGAGCGGACGTCGACCGCCGCCCCACGGCCATCGAGGGCCTGGGCTGCTGCAAGTGCTCGGCTCTCTTCGAGCTCCTGGACGCCTCCCCAGACCCCCGACGTCATGATTTTTTCATTACGTCGACCCCCAGAGGTCCCGACCCTTTCCCCATGACCGGCTTTGCATCCTGAGTCGTTTTCTGACGCTCCCGAGGCCCGGCGAGGGCCGCTGGAGGCCGAAAATTCGGGAAAACCTCCCGTCGTGATTTTTGCACTACTCGAGGGGGTCTGGGTCGGGAGGGCGGGTGGAGGCTCTCCTGGGGACCTCCGGAGGCCCCCCGGGACCTCGCGGGGACCCTCCGGACGTCCCGCGTCTTGTCCCGGACGTGTTGTCCCGGAACCCTCCTGTCAGGGGGAGAAGGAGCGCCCGGCGCGCGGGCTCCGCACGCCGGGGGGGAGGCGGAGGAGGAGGAGGAGGAGGAGGAGGAGGAGGAGGAGGAGGAGGAGCAGGAGGAGGAGGAGGAGGAGCAGGAGGAGGGGGCCCCCCGGAACCCTTGGGTCCCGACGTCTTGTCCCGGACGTGTTGCCGATGACCCTGGGGCCCGACGGCGGGCCCTGGGGGCCGCACCCCAGGAAGCGTGCCCGGGTCGAGAGCAAGGCCGGCGAACGGAAGCTGCTCCTCCTCCTCCTCCTCCTCCTCCTCCTCCTCCTCCTCCTCCTCCTCCTCCTCCTCCTCCTCCTCCTCCCCCCACTCAGCATAGCATCGCGACCGTGGAGTTGGATCCACTCTCCTGGACGTGGTGCTGGGAGCCACGCCCAGGAGAGAATCGCTCCGCCCTGGAAGACGGGGCCTTGGGCTCCGGCAGTGACTTTCTGCGACGTCCGGATGCTCGAGCCGGCGTCGTGGCCACATCAACTCGGCGCGAACGGGCCGTATAGAGCAGGATCGACTGTTCTGGGCGTGGCGCTGTGAGCCCTCCCGCGCCTCGCCAGAGCTTCTCCGCGCGGGCCTCCGCGCTGGCCACGCCTGCGGGCGCCGAGGCGAGGGAGAAAAAACCGCAGGAGCGACGGGGAGCGACTTTCGCGCGAGGCGGGGGTTCGTCGGCATCCGCCGCCTGGGAACCAACGCCCTCTGGGTCGCCTGGTGTCGCGCACCGCGCCCCGCGATGCGCGGCGCGCGCCTCCCTTCGCGCCCTCGCGCCCTCGCGCCGCCCCACCCCCCCCCCCTCCCCTCCCTGGAGAAGGCCGGCCGCTCTGGCCCAGACCGCGGCGCGCGAAGCGCGCGTAGCTTCGCGCCCTCGCGCCCTCGCGCCGCCGCCCCCCCCCCTCGGAGAAGGGCCGCCGCGCTGGCCCAGGCCGAGCTGCGCGAAGCGCGCGGCTGTCCTCGCGCCTCCGCGGGTGCCCTCGGTCCTGGGGCCCCCCCCTGGCGGGCGGTGGACATGGACCTGCTGTGCCCCGGGGGGCCCGAGTGCACCTGGGCGATCGCGGAGGCCCTGGGCCCCAAAACGTTTTCGCCTCTTGGAGGGTAGGCGTGAAATCCTCGTCGACCGTGGTTTGCTATCTAGGAATGAAAACCTAGGTTCACCACCTGCAGATGATACCCTATGGGTGATTACCCTGTGAATGGATCGGGCTCAGCCCCCCCCCGCCGGCCGAATCATTATCTTTCTGGAATAATCAACCTAAGGTTAATATTCCAACATTATGCACCAAGATTTCTTTCAGGCATGAACGTACCCCCAACCGGCGCCCCCCAAGCTCAATCATTATCATTCCAGAATCATTAACCGGGGGTCCATAATCCAGGATATACGAATCCGGGTATATTATCTCCTGGAGGTAATAAACCAAGGTCAATATTCCGACATGAATAACCTGGTGGGGAACCCAGGGGTCGGGGGGAAAATAATAATTATCATCATTCCGGAATGACGAAAACCGAATTCATTACTCCCGGAACATATGAACCCCGGTTAATAATCCCAGTCAATATTACAAATGTTGTAAACCCCATGTTCTAAACCCCATGTTTCAATAATCCCAGTCAAAATTCCAAATAGTAATTACTCCAAATGTTGTAAAACCCAGTCAACATTCCCGGAACATTATGAACCCAGGTTAACATGTTTTTGGGGCCGATATCCCCAAAATATTATAAACCAGAGTATATACATGTTCCGGGGAAAACATTATGAACCCCAGTCATTATTCCCAGAATATTTAAACCCAGGTTCATGATGTTCCGGGCGAGACATTATGAACTCTGGTCAATACTCCTAGAACACTGTAAGCCCAGGTTCATATCTATTCGAGGTCCATCCTGGCCTCTTGGGAGCGCATTTGTTACTTCCGCCGCCCTTCCGCCGCGGAAGAGATGACAACTCCTCCTATCCTCGAAGGCGAGGCCCGTTTTGGAACGCCCCATCTACATCCACCGCTCGCCGAGGCCCCCGAAGATCGATCCCCCAGGCGGGCGCTCGTTTCACCGATCCCGATCCCGATCCCCACCGATTCACCGATCGTTTCACCGATCCCGATCCCCACCGGCAAGGCCTTGGGCCCACTAGCCGATCTACCCTCCTAGATGGTGATATCGGCTGCTCCCCTCGGGCTTCGGTGGGCCTTGCCCGGGGGGGGATGGTGGGGCTGAGATGCCATGGCCTGGTGAGGATGGGGATGGGCTGAGAAGCCAGGCGACCCGATTAGGAACGGCTTCCATGGAAGGAGAAACGAAGGAGGGGCAGGAAGTGGACCATCGCGGCTGGGACGCTTCACCATCCCGAGCAGCCCTCTCGGCCGTCGCCCAGGCTCACCCGTGGTGACGCATCAGCAGAAGTGAGGCGACAACGATGCACAGCAGCGCCGTGCAAGCACCGGACCGCACCAGACCGTCGTGGGGTCGGAAGGAAATCGGGCCAGCCTGGCCGGACTCGACATCAAATCGGGCCGCACAGGTCGACAGGGGCACTGCGCCCCCCCGCCCCCCTCCCGAGAGGCCTTGGGCGTAGCGCATGGTGTACTCCTCCAAGGTCACCTCGAAGGAGGAGGGCCCGGAGCCTGCCAGGAACTCCTTCGCGGAGCAGAAGGCCGTGGCAAAGTAGGCGTCCTCCCCGTTCATGCGCGCGGGGTGGCGCAAGGCGGCCACGAACTCCGCGTTGGAGTGCAGGTGTGCGGGGTTGGCGCGGATAACCAGGAAGATCAACAGCGGCAGGAAGTCATCCGCCGACAGGGCGCGGACCTTGCCGTCACCGAGGCCCTCATGTGTGGCCTTCAGGAGGAGGAGGAGGAGGAGGAGGAGGAGGAGGAGGAGGAGGAGGAGAAGGAGGAGGAGGAGGCGGAGGAGGAGGAGGGAGGAGGAGGCCTTCAGGATGTCGTTGATCACGTTGCACGCATTTAGGATGCACAACAGCTTGTCCTTGGGCGCCCGGTACTCATCTATGCTCCGGAGCTCCTGTATGGCCGTGGGGAACAGGGCCAACTCCACGGGAGGAATGCCTGCAAGCGGCCAGAGCTAAAGAGAGTAAGCTCGGGAGGAGCTGAGCGTCTCTCTTGCTGCCCCCTCTCCCCTCCTGCCTCGTCCTGGACCCTCGCGCCGCGATCACTGACCCACTGAGGTATGCCCCTCCTTCTTTGTCCCCACGAAGAAGAGAAGTCGCCATCCCCCGCCAAGCCCTGGCCCGCCTCTCGTTGCAAGGGGGCCGGGGCGAGGTCTCTTTCTGGTCGCCCGGCCTAGGTGCTGCAGCTCGATCCAGGACAGGCCGCTGAGGTGCTTGCTCAGGAAGGCGTCTGCCTCTCGATCTGCGGGGTCTGCTAGGGGGCCACATGCGAACCCTACCCCTACCCCCCACGATTTCTGAGGGGGAGGGTGGGGTTCACTTCGCTCGGGAGCTCCCGAACGAAGTGAACCCCACCCTCCCCCTCGGAAACCGTGGGGGGTAGGGGTAGGGTTCGCATGTGGCCCCCTATCTGCCGCGAAGAGCTTGGGGTACAAGCGGCACAGGAGGAACTTCTCCAGCCCCTCCTCCGCCTCCCGCGTCCCCTCCTCCGCGGAGCGCCCGCGAAGCGCCGCGTGCACACTGGAGGCCGACACAGCCACCGTGCTGCCACAAGGAACAGCATCGATGATGGTGAGGAGGAGGAGGAGGATGAGGACCACTGTAAACCTACGAGTCATCAGCGACGTTGGCATAAAACCTCCCGCCAAGCTCCCTCTTCATAGACTCAACGGTTCATTTCCACTGAGGGAACCGGCTCGTCGGAAGTCAACCGTTGGAAGATTGTGAAGCATGACGAAACATTGTTCTCGGAATTCCAACGCCACGGATCAAATTGACTGTTGCGTCTTGACGAGCCTGAATCGTGCCAGAACGCCATTCCTGGGACTTAAACACCGCGAATCAACGTAATTGCTGCACCCGCATAATCCTAAACATCTTTCCAAAACACCATTTCTGGTACATTGATCGCGGGAATCCGTAAAACTCTTGTAAAAGGTTATAAACGAATGTCTGCGGCGCTCAAGCGAGAACCAGATTTTGAAAAGGAGCCGCCCTCAATCCGTGAAGCTCTCGCAAATTTGTGAAACGAATGTACGCGGCGAGAAGGCAAGAACCACATTTTGAAAGAAACCGCCCTCAATTGTGAAGCTCTTGCACATATGTAAAACGAATGTACGCGGCGCCAAAGCGAGAGCCACATTTTGAAAAGAAACCGCCCTCAACCTGTCAAAAAAACGAATGTGCGCGGCGCTACGGCAAGATCCACATTTTGAAAACCACCCGCCCTCAATCCGTGAAACTCTTGCACGTTGTTTTAACGAATGCGCGCGGCGCTCAGACGAGACCCACATTTTGAAAACCACCCGCCCTCCATATGTGAAGCTGTTGCCAGTTTTTCCCTACAAAGGCTCTGCCTATAAGGGTTCTTACTCTCTGGGCTTAAAGGGGCCGGGCAGTGGAAAGCGCCCCGGGCGGTTCCCCCAGTATCCGCCCCGCGGTTCCCCCAGTTACGTCCCCTTAGCTTAGCGTTGCTTATCTCATCTGAGCTTAGCTTATTTCATCTTAGCTTAGCTTAGCTTCATCTTAGCTCAGGTTTATCTTAGCTTAGCTGAACGTCATCTTAGCTTCGCTGAGCTTTAGCATAGCAGAGCACAGCACAGCATAGCAAAGCGTAGCATAGCATAGCGCAGCACAGCATATCATAGCATCGCCCAGCATAGCATAGCATAGCGCATCATATCATAGCATAGCATAGCATATCGCAGCACAGCACAACACATCATAGCACAGCGCAGCATAACATAGCATATCAAAGCATAGCATCAAAGCAAAGGCAAAGCAACAGCAGCGACAGCAAAACAAAGCACAAGCAGCGCAAAGCAAAGCAACAACAAAAACAAAGCAACTGAAAGGCAAAGCAAAAGCAATGTGCGACAGATGCCGAGCTAGCCTCGGCATCTGTCGCACATTGCATAGTATAGCATAGCATCGCATAGCATACCATAACATCGGTGTGCATGGTATAGCATGGCATAGCATAGCATAGCAACTAATGCTGCTGTCCTAGGGTCTCCAACTTCTAGGTAGGGTCGCACTGGGGTTATTAAGCTTCAAGGTCATAAATGGTGAGGGAAGTCTCAGGCGAAACGCCGCCCGGTCCGCCCTAAAAACTGGCCTCGGGGTGCGACAGGGGGAAATTACTAATAAGGAAACATAATGAAGGAGGAGGAGGAGGAGGAGGAGGAGGAGGAGGAGGAAGAGGAGAAGAAGGCAGAGGAGGAGAGGAGGAGGAGGAGGAGGAGGAGGAATAGGAGCAGGAGGAGGAGGAGAAGGAGGAGGAGGAGGAGGAGGAGGAGGAGGAGGAGGAGGAGGAGGGGGAGGAGCTTTTCTGGCGAGGCGAGCCTCGTCCGCGGACAATTTCCCCCCTGGCCCAAACCCCAGGAGCGGCACTAGAGCCAGAGCCCATCCAGGGCCCCGAGGAGGAGGAGAGGAGGAGGAGGAGGAGGAGGAGGAGGAGGAGGACGGAGAAGAGAAGAAGGCAGAGGAGGAGGAGGAGGAGGAGGAGGAGGAGGAAGGAGGAGGAAGAGGAGAAGAAGGCAGAGGAGAGGAGGAGGAGGAGGAGGAGGAAGGAGGAGGAGGAAGAGAGGAGGAGGAGGAGGAGGAGGAGAGGAGGAGGAGGAGGAGGAGGAGGAGGAGGGGGGGAGCTTTTCTGGCGAGGCGAGCCTCGGCCGCGGACAACTTCCCCCCTGGCCCAAACCCCGGGGAGCGGCACGAGAGCCAGAGCCCGTCCAGGGCCCGAGGAGAGGAGGAGGAGGAGAGGAGGAGGAGGAGAGGAGGAGGAAGAGGAGAAGAAGGAGAGGAGGAGGAGGAGGAGGAGGAGGAGGAGGAGGAAGGAGAAAAGGCAAGGAGGAGGAGGAGGAGGAGGAGGAGGAGGAGGAGGAGGAGAGGAGCAGGAGGAGGAGGGGAGAGGCAGGAGGAGGAGGAGGAGGCGGAGGAGGAGGAGGAGGAGGAGGAGGAGGAGGAGGGGAGAGCTTTCTGGCCGAGGCGAGCCTCGGCCGCGGACAACTTCCCTTCTGGCCCAAACCCCAGGGAGCGGCACGAGAGCCAGAGCCCATCCAGGTCCCCGAGGAGGAGGAGGAGGAGGAGGAGGAGGAGGAGGAAGAGGAGAAGAAGGCAGACGAGGGGAGGAAGTGGTCCGTATCGAAGCGTCTTGGCTGCACGGCACCGCGCGCAGTCGCCGACTCGCGCGCGCGAGGCGTCCGCGAGACGAGGGAGGCCCCGAGGCCGACAGGGGCTCTTCGAGACGATCGATCCAACGATCACGACGGCCGACCGAAGAGGCCGAGCCGACCCAGCACAAGAGGGCAACCGGTCGGTCGGCTCGGCCTCGCGGCCCGCCTCCCATCGCAAGCCCTGGAAGTCCCGACCCTGTCCTCACGGAGGAGGAGGAGGAGGAGGAGGAGGAGGAGGAGGAGGAGGAGGAGGAGGAGGAGGACGAGGAGGAGGAGGAGGAGGGAGGAGGAGGAGGAGGAGGAGGGAGGAGGAGGGAGGAGGAGGAGGAGGAGGGAGGAGGAGGGGGAGGAGGAGGAGGAGCAGGAGGAGGCTCCTCACCGCGAGCCGCCTCCCAAGGGCCCCGGGGCCGCGGCGAGGGCTCCCCCAATGAGAGGCCCAGAGCGGCCGAAGGCCTCCCGAGGCTTGCTGCGACGCGGGGCACGTCTGGGTCCTCGTCGGCGTCCGCCGCGAAGACCACGGCCTTTGAGAGCATCCACGCCGCCGCGCGGTCCTGGAAGCGGTGGATCTCTTCCGCGGCCTCCGAGGTCGGCCGCCCGGCCGCGAACTCGGTCACGAACTGGTGCATGCGGTGCACGACCTGGGACGGGGCGGCGGGATCCAGGCACGCCCGCTGCCCCAGGCCTGGCCCATCCTGGGCCCAGGAGCGGTGTATACGCCATCGTCGTAATCCTCCTCCTCCTCCTCCTTTTCCTTTTCCTCTTCCTCCGCCTCCTCCTCCTCCTCCTCGTCGTAATCCTCCTCCTCCTCCTCCTCCTCCTCCTTTTCCTCCTTGTCCTCCCGTACGCCTTCCGGCGCGTGTGCGGGGCGACCTGCCCGTGCGGAGGAAGAGGGGCTCACCACGACTGCAACGAAGAAACACAGGCCGCCCCCCGACTGCGAGGCAAACAAACACGAGGAGACGGAAGAGGGAAGGGGGGCAAGCTAGGAGCGCTCGCAGCATATCTGGCGTCCTACCCCTCCCTCCCATCCCTTACCATGGCGTAGATATCCTCTCCATTCGCACGGTCAGATGTCGCAGCATGGCATAGCATAGCCTAGCATGGTGTTGAAGATCAACACGTAGCCATGACATGGCATGGCGTGGCGACGCCCCAAAGTTGGGGGGGGGGGGGGGGGGCTTCTGCGGCCCCAAGAATCAACGAATCGACGCCGAATGTGTAATCACTTCCGATTGTTTTTTTTGGGGGGGGGGCATTTTCTTGATGTTGGGGCCTATTTGGACGGACCGAAAACCATGCCGTGGCAGGGCACTGAAATTATCACGCCAGCGCTGCAGCGGGAGCACGATTCGGAACGAGCGGAAGCGCGGAAATGAGGCCAACGCTGCAGCGGGAGCACGATTCGGAACGAGCGGAAGCGCTGAAATGAGACCACCGCTGCAGCGGGAGCACGATTGGGAACGAGCGAAAGCTCGAAAATGAGGCCAGCGTCTCAGCAGGAGCAGCATTTTGAAAAAAACAGCCGGAAACCCACTTCCTGGGAACCTGGTGTAAAAAACAATACGCGGAAGGGGGGCGGACATCTTCTGGACGTCATCAGGGAAGAGAGGAGAGTAGTATTCATATTGTGTAATTGTAGGAGGGAGCAGGGAGCACTAGAGCAAGTCTCTCTCACCGTTGTCGAAAGCAAGCTCATCACAGAATTCTCGCCGCTTTACCTGGTCCTGCGCAGCCTCGTGCCAGCATTGGTCCGAAGGAAA